ATGCAAATTTTTCTAAATGCAAATTTTCTAATAAAATATTAGGAAATTGAATCCAGCAATATTACAAAGGATGATACAATGGTTAAAGTGGGGCTTACATTGGCTGATTTGAAAATATTAACCAACCTTAAATTCTGGAATAAAAAATATTTGCAGTCACACATACAGGATAATAATATATAACACATCACAATTAAGATGGGCTTATTCTAGGAATTCAGAGTTGGTTTGCCTTTTGAGATCAAGCAATATAATATACTAAACTAACAGAGTAAAGGAGAAACAGATATAATTATCTCAATAAATGCAAAGTGATAAGTTACAACACATATTTATGTTAAATCTTTTAGCAAATTAGAAATCTGATAAGTAACATCTTATAAAAAAACTCACAACAAACATCATGCTGTATGATGACTATTAAAAACCTGATATCATTTCTTCTATTCAACAATGTACTGAAGGTTCTAGCCAATGAATAAAGCAAGATAAATAAATAAAAGATACAAGAAAGAAAAAGATTCTTGAAAGTTGGTCAAATTCACAAATGACATGATTATGCAGCAAATTCAAAAGAGTATGCAGATAAACTATTGAATTTATAAGAAAATTTAACAAGATTGCTTGGTCCAAGTTTGAACAGGTACATATCTGAGAACTAAGCAATCATAGAATAACATTTTTAAATGGAATCTAGAAATAAATCTAATGAAAGACATACAAGACTTCTATAAAGCTATTTGGTAAATATTGTGGAAAAGTAAAGAAAACTTCAAAAATAGAGGCATAGATCATATTCATGAATTTAAAAATTTAAAATGTGAATTTGTTAACTGTCCACAAATTGATTTGCTGAGTCAATAGAAACCCAGTACAAATTAAAGTAAGATTCTTCTTGTGGAAATTAACAAGTTGATTCTAAATTTTAATGGAACAGCAAAGGGCCAAGAATTATCAAGTAAATCTCATAGAAAGACATAGAAGATATATGGAGAGTTCAGATGGTAGCACTTAATTGCCAGAGGCAATGTGGGTTATCATACTAGACAGCAAAGCCAAAATAGCAATTACAATGATTTGACTGCAGAATTCTTTGTCATTGGCTAATTGATCATAGATTCTCTAAATTGGAAGTAGATGGCTAGCTGACCACAGTGTTATTTAATTTATGTAAAGAAAAGATATCTAGTAAATAGAAGTTTGACTTGAATCATTGCAAAAGTTGGTCATGATTCATCAACAACCCTCAGATTTGAATAGTTTGTAGATACACAGCAGCTTGGTTGAATGGGAGACTGGATGCTCTTGTGGAAGCACCCTGCTACACAGCTAAAAGTGAATATTGTAAGTCTTCCTCTAGCCTTCCCCAAGAGGACTTAAAGTCATTTACCATGTTTGGATTCAGAAAGTTTGTAGAATTAGAGAGAGAGATAAAAATATAGATACAGGTCTAGGAGTATTTTTTAAAAAATAAAATGAAATCTTGCCATGCATGCTGTTCTATCTTCTGATGCTTTTTCACATAAAATATGTATCCTTACATGTCATTAAGTGCTTCTTTATGTTACCATTTTTATGACTGAATAACATTCCAGTGTGTGGATGTACTTTTCCTAATTCTGCATGGCTATTTTATGTTTCTTAGGGAATTCTTTATAGTAGTAGTCATTTTTAAAAACATATCTCTTTCCTTTCAGCAGATCATTTCCAAACCATAGTTTGAAATGTGTGGAGCATTTAGGTTACTTTAACATTTCTACTATTATAAATAATGCTGAAATGAAAATTTCATACCAAACTTTTTGGAAAAAAAACCCTGGCAATTATTTCCTAAGAATAAATTCTAAGAAGTGGGTTAAAATATATGCCCATTTGAGGAACAGGGGAAGATGGCAGTGGAACCAGTCGGACTATGTGAGTTCCTGTGTGAGTGAGTGAGTGTATGGACAATTTTGCGAATGTGTCTGGAGTAAGTGGGTGTGTGAGTGGCTGACTGAGTGGGAACTCAGGAGCAAGTAGCCAGGACTCTCCTGGTGAAGTGACTGGTGCACTACTTGAACCCTAGTGCTTCCCAGGGCACAGAAGCTGAGTGCCATTTTTTAAAATCAACAAAGTTCTCCCCGGATAAAAGCTGCCAGGAATGATTGCTGGCTCCAGGCTCTGCCTCACCACTGCAGCATCTGTCTGGATGCTGGCAGCAAGTGCTGCTGAAGGAGCACAGCAAGGAAGACAGAAGCAGAGTCTCACTGTTCAACATAGAAGTGGAAGTCCTACCTAGAGCAATCAGACAAGAGAAGGAAATCAGGAGTATTCAAATAGGAAAATAGGAAGTTAAGATATCCCTCTTTGCTGATGGTATGATCCTATATCTCAAAAATCCAAGAGAATCTGTCAAAAACCTCCTTGCACTGATAAAGGACTTTGGCAAACTCTCAGAGTATAAAATAAACATGCAAAAGACAGTTACATTCTTATACACCAACAACAAACAGGCAGAGAACCAAATAAAGAGCATAATCCCATTCACAATAGCCACACAAAAAATGAAATACCTCAGCATCTTCCTAACCAGATAAGTGAAAGACCTTTACAATGAAAACTACACAACACTGCTCAAAGTAATCAAAGAAGACACAGACAAATGGAAAAATATTTCATGCTCATGGATAGGAAGGGTCAATATTGTTAAGATGTCCATCCTGCCAAAGGCAATCTACAGATTCAACACAATACTCATTGAATTACCAATATCATTCTTCCCAAACTTGGCAACAACAATACAAAAATTCATATGGAAACATAAATGACCATGAATAGTCAAAACAATCCTCAGCAAAAGAAACAAAGTGGAAGGTATCATACTTCCAGATTTTAAACTTTACTTTAAGACTGCAACAATCAAAACAGTCTGGTACTGGTACAAAAACAGGCATATATACCAATAGAGCAGGATAGAGATTCTAGAAGCAAAACCTCAATTTCTCAACTAACTCATCTTCAACAAAGCCTCCACCAACAACCACTGGGGAGAGGAGAACCTTCAGTAAATACAGCTGGGAAAACTGGTTGACCACATGTAGAAGCTTGAAACAGGACCCCTACCTATCACTATACACAAAAATCAACTCTAAATTGAGCAAAGACTTAAATGTAAAACCTCATACTATAAGAATCTTAGAAAACACAGGAGACACCCTATGGGAATCAGAATAGACAACCAATTCCTCATCAAAACCTTAAGTGCCCATGCCATAAGTGATAAGATGGACAAGTGGGACCTCATTAAACTGAAAAGCTTCTGCAAAGCAAAAGAAACCATCAAGAGAGTGGAGAGACAGCCCAAAGAATGGGAAAAAATATTTACCAACTGTATATCTGACAAAAGTTTAACATCCAGATCTACAAGGAACTCAAATATGCCGAGAGGAAAAAAAAAAACAGCCCCGTTAAAAAGTAGGTAAAAGACATGAATAGACACTTCTCAAAAGAAGACAGGCAAGAGACATATGAAAAAGTGCTCAGCCTCACTAATCATCAGATAAATGCAAATCAAAACCACATTGGGATACCACCTATCCCCAGTAAGAATGGTCATCATTAATAAAACAAAAAACAACAGATGCTGGTGAGGATACAGAGAAAAGGGAATGCTTCTACACTGCTGATGGGAATGCAAACTAGTCAACCTCTATGGAAAACAGTGTGACGATTTCTAAAAGAACTAGAAACTGACCTTCCATACGACCCAGCAATTCCCCTCTGGGAAAATACCCAGAGGTACTCAAATCATTCTACAAACAGTGCCTGCACATGCATTTTGTTGCAGCTCTGTTCACAACAGCAAAAATACGGAACCAGCCGTGCTGCCCATCAAAACTGGACTGGATAAAAAAAAAAATGTAGTACTATATATGATGGAATATTACATAGCCATAGAGAAGGAAAAACATAGACTTTGCAGCAACTTGGATGGATTTAGAGTCTATCATACTCAGTGATCTATCACAGAAACAAAGAACTGAGTTACCACGTGTTCTCACTCATAAGTGAACTCTGAACATTTACCATAATACAGTAAGAAAGGGATTGGTAGTAGCCAGAAACTGCCAGGGGAGGAGGGGGCACATAGCATCAATAAGAGTCTCTGATCTCAAACCAGGCAATGTAGGGACCAAAGTTTATCTGTACAATGACCATATGTATACCGAATCCTGAATTATACACTACATCTTTAAAATAAAATTTATTTTAAAGGCAGAAGTTGTCATTGCTCACTGTTGCCCACTTTTGAGGTTTATAGCACATGGTGCCTTTCAAGAAGTTTTGTTGGTCTCTAGGCAAATGAGAGTGCTGGTTCCTCCACAGTTCCACTAACCTTGAACAGTATTAATTTTCAAAATCTCTACTAATTTTCCAAGCAGAATTAGTATACTGGGGATGGCAGAATCAACACAAATTCAAGTTCATTGAAGTAAAAATAAGGTTTGAAGGCTTTTATATTTATCAGGCCCCTGATATAGAAAAGACATCTGGTCAGGTGCAGGGGCTCACACCTGTAATCCCAGCACTTTGGGAGACTGGGGTGGGAAGCCTGCTTGAGCCCAGGAGTTTGAGACTAGTCTAGGCAACATAGTGAGATTTCACTTCTACAAAAAAAGTAAAAAATTAGTTGGGCATGGTGGTGCACGCCTGCAGTCGCAGCTACTTGGGAGGCTGAGGTAGGAGAATTGTTTGAGCCCAGGGGTTTGTGGTGAGCTGTGATCCTGCCACTGCACTCCAGCCTGGGTGACAGAGTGAAACCCTGAAGAAAAAGAAAAAAAAAGACACATCCTAGGATAAGGAAGAACTTAAGGAAACAGTTACCAGGAATTCCATGGGAATTTTTTATAGAGCATCTGAAGGACAGACCACACAAAGAGAATTTGATCAACATTTTTATAATTCCAGAAGGAAATTAGAATGTATTGGTAAAGGTAATAGAAATGAATATTTAAACTCACTCTCACAAAGAGGTCCTTCATTATCCCAAGTGACAGTATTTTCTGAGATGATGCATATGGCAGAGGAGGAGCCAATGAGTCGATATCTAGAGGCAAAGAATGAGGAATGTTGTATTCTAAATACACACATAATTTACCATTTAAGTTGCTACTTCCCAAAGATAGCAATCTTGGAGAATTCAGAAGGACATTTTCCACTTGTCAAAGTACTATCTATCACTTTTCCAAGCTTCACGTTCTTCTTGGGACTTGGATTTTCTTTTTCATATTTTCTCAACTGAATGAGATTTCTCTTCTTTATTACCTTATGATACATTTTTACATAAATCTAAGGTGAATTACGTGTTTTTGTTTTTTAAAGTTATTACAAGCTACTTGAGTTCAAGGAAGCTGTTGTATGTGTACATATGTATGTGTGTGTATATAGTCCTCATATGTATTTCTTATGCCTTATAAATATGAATGCATAGATGGGCTTTTATCAGTAAGATTCATCAAATTAGAATCAAAGGAGATCCAAAAAGAACAGAACATTTATTTCATACTTAAAATGTAAAAGTCAGTGATTCTCAATTATATGCCTCAAAGTTTTCAAGGTGTGCTATAAAATTTGGAACAATTCAGGCATTTATTTTACTTCATCTGAGACTATGTATTGTGAGAAATGCTTGGCCTGATCTAGTCATGAGAATTGATTTAGGACAGGGTCAAACTTGATAGTTCTACAAATTAAGAGGAATAAAGTAATATCAAGTAACAGTCATGTTATTGTATTAGCTGAGAACTTTGCCTTATGAATTTTCAAGAAAACATGGCAGCATAAAATTTTATTCATGCAAAAAAACAATGACAACGGGAGATCCAATGAGTAGAGTGACAACAGTGGATACTTTAAAAGAAAATTGAAGCATTTCAATTGAATTGAATCCTGTTGGATTGTAGTAGTTATTATGTTGTAATATTAATGACTTTAGTATTTGTTTTTTAATGCCATGTAGTATACTACCAGAAATGAAAGTATTCTCAACTGCACTGACAACACACATACATACAAACTGCGCATATACACTGACAACATACATACACAAATACACACACACACAAAGAACAAATGGAGGAAAGAAAGGCTGCAGTTCTACATGTGCTCCTCCTGCTGCCTGTTTGTCTTAGGAGTAAAGGATCCTGGAGACGCCTCTGGCTTTTGATCTTGAAGAGGTTATTTCTTAAAGTGTTGTTTTTGGTTTTCTAACCATGAGACTTAGGATATGAATGATGAAGCAAGTTCAGACTGAAAATGGCATTTTTCCTCTCTGTACTATGGTTTAGTGTTCTAGTGCTGAACACATCATGAGTCAGAAGATAATTCTGTGTTAACTGATAAAGGAGACCAGATAGAACAATGTTTTAATTTGTTAAACTTGTCTCCCAAGGTAGATTAAGTAATTGAGCAAAAACTAGTTTGAATTGTCCTCATTCAGGATGTTTATGTGGAATTAAGGCAGAGAGATAAGATCCATGCTACTTGTTTTAGGAGGTGCCAGAAATGATTATATCCATTCTAACAGGTTGCAGTCTTTATATCTACCCTATCTATTTGGGTATCCTGGGGGAAGAGAGGGTTGTGGAGGCATATAGCTAAGCCATGGTTCAGAAAAGGTCATGATCATTTCATTACAAAAAACCACATACAGCCTGTTGGTAAACATGTCTAAACATTTGGAAATCTTCTACTCAGAGCTCAGAGTGGGACAGTGAAGCCTGGGATGTTACTGCCATTTCCCTTTTCTTCTTTTTAACCTACATGCCTTGAACCAGATGGTTGAGTTAGAAAAACCTGAGAATAAGAAACAAACCTTGTGAATTATTTATGTTAGCACATCGTCAACCTTAAATAATGAAATTCAGAAAATATGATTAAGTATAGAATCGATTCACGCACAAAGCTTGAAGATGACCACCTGAGAAACACCGAATCCAAAAAATGGGCCAGTGTTCTAAAGAGGAGAAGTTAGTTTCACTTACATAGAAATTTTAGCAGGATTACAACATTTTTCATATGAGACCATTACATATGTTCCAGTGATCCAAATGGTTACAGATTGCTACAGTTCAAGGAAGATTTTTTTTTTTTTTTTTGAGTTGGGAGTCTCACTCTGTCACCCAGACTGGAGTGCAGTGGCTGCTCCCGGCCACCGCAGCCTCGACCTGCTGGTCTCCAGCGATCCTTCCTCAGCCTTCCAAGTAGCCAGAATTACAGGCATGCGCTACCATGCCCGGCTGATTTTTTTGATTTATTGTAGAGATGAGGTCTCGCTGCCCAGGCAGGTCTCGAACCCGCGGGCTCAGGCAATCCACTCACCTCAGCCTCCCAAAGGCGCGGGATTACAGGCTGAGCCACCGAGCCCGGCTCAAGGAAGATTAATTTATTACTGAGGAAGAGTAGTGATCTGAGGGCATCTTATCTCTGGCACCATTTGGTTTTAATTATTTACAGGAAAGAAAAAGGCAGAAGCTGTAGTTGCATGCATGACTCAGGCTGCATAGCCACATTCCTCTCAAGGCTCAGAATAATTCAAAGTTTCAACAACTGTATGTTTTTTCTTTGTTTCTTTTTTTTTTTTTTTGAGTTTGAGTCTCACTGTCACCCAGACTGGAGTGCAGTGGCTGCTCCCGGCCACTGCAGCCTCGACTGCTGGGCTCCGGCGATCCTTCCGCCTCAGCCTTCCGAGTAGCCGGAATTACAGGCACACGCTACCACGCCAGCTGATTTTTTTATTTATTGTAGAGATGAAGTTTCGCCAAGTTGCCCAGGCGGGTCTCGAACTGCAGGCTCAGGCAATTCACTCACCTCGGCCTTCCAAAGCATGGGATTACAGGCTGAGCCACCGAGCCCGGCCGACTTTCTGTTTTAATTATTTAATTTCACAACATAAAATTATTTGACAGGAAGGCCTTCCCTTTGGTAATTTAATAGTAACTAAACAAAAACCTTTCTTATTTTGAAATAATCAGATTCACATGCAGTTGTACGAAATAATACAGAGAGATCCTAGGTACACTTTATTCAATTTCCCTCTGGTGATAACATATCTTGTAAAACAATAGTACAACATCAAAATCAGGATATTGATATAGATATGATCCACCAATTTTGTTGAAAGTTCCTTCTTTACTTTTGCTCATTTATGAGTATATGTGTCTGTTTGTGTATAGGCATATGCCTGTGTTTTACATTGATGCAGTTTTAAAAAATAGACTTTGTGTTTTAGAGCAGTTTTTGGTTCACAGCAGCATTGAACAGAAGATACAGAGATTTCCCATATACTCCCTGCCTCTACACATGCCCAGCCTCTCCTATTATCAACATCCCCCACCAGGATGGTTAATTTTTTTTTACAATGGTTAAACCTACAAAGACACATCATGATAACCCCAAGCCCATAGTTTACAACAGGGTTCACTTCTGGTGTTATGCATTTTATGACTTTGGATAGATTTATGATGACACCATTATAGCATCAGTTGTTTCACTCCAGTAAAAACCCTCCATGCACTGCTTATTCATCCTTCTCTCTTCCCTAACTTCTGGCAAGCATCTATCTTCTTACTGTCTACAGAATTTTGCCTTTTTCAGAATAGCATATAGTTGGAATCATATATTATATAGCCTTTTCAGATTGGCTTCTTTCACTTAGTGATACGCTTGCACTTAAGTTTCTTTCATGTCTTTTCATAGATGACAGTCTATTTATTTTTAGCACTAAATAATATTTCATTGGCTATAACATAATTTATTTATCCATTCACTTATGGAAGGATATCTTAGTTGCTTTCATGCATTGTCAATTATGAATAAAGTTGCTATAAGCATCTACATGCAGGATGTTTTTTGGGGGGAGGGGCATGAATTTTCAAGTCCTTTGGATAAATACCAAAGGGCAAAACTGCTGGAACATATGGTAAGAGTATGATCAGTTTTCTAAGAAATTGCCAAACTATTTTGTTAAAGTCACTGTGCCATTTCACATTTCTATCAGCAACAAATAAGAGTTGTGTCCCCCTTCCCACCTTGCCAATATGTTGAAGTTCTAACCCCCAGACCCTGTGAATATGACCTTATATGGTAATAGGGTCCTTGCAGATGTAATCAAGTTAAGATGAGGTAATTAAGATGTAACCAAGTTAAGATGAGGTCATATGGACCCTAATCCCATATGACTAATGTCTTTATAAGAAGAGAGAACTTTGGACATAGGCATGCAGAGAAAGGAGAACATCATGTGAAGACACATACATAGAGGGGAGACAGCATGTGAAGATAGAGACAGAAATTAGAGTTCTGTTTTCACACACCAAGGAAGACCTGGGGCCACCAGGAGCTGAAAGAGGCAAGGAAGGATTCTCCCCTGCAGGCTTTGGAGGAAGCATAGTCCTGCCAACACCTTGACTTTGGACTTCTAGCCTCCAGAACTGTGAGAGAATACATTTCTGCTGTTTTAAGCCCCTAGATATATGTTGATGTATCTGTGATAGTTGTATACTTTGGGATGGCAGCCTAGTGAACCAACAGTGCTGTTACCATTACGAATTGTCCTCCCACCTAACTGCTCTATGGGCTTCCTTTCCTTCCAGCAACGTCTACTCTGGGCTAGGGCTTTTGTGTGCTTTGACTACACTCTCCCCTCCACCCCACTGTCCTCCTTCCCACCCAGTGAATGCCACACTTTTCTTATATGCACTAGCCTGGTTTCCAGCAAGGATTCAGATTTCCCCTAATCTCATACGTTTGTTCATTTACATTAGGAGTTAGACACCTATGTTCAAATCTCTTAATAACAGATGGTAATAGCCTAGTTGTCCCTTCTGAGATGTGATTAGAAGGTAATATTGCTGTTCTGGAACTCTTGAACCAAGAATGTTGCTGCCAACTTACCCTTCATTACAAGAATATTGAATTTGGGATCCGAACTGGAGATTTGTGATCTGCACCATACCATTCATAGGATCGGAAGGAGTTTTACATGTTTTACCTATAGGAAAGAAAGAGTATTTAGGAGCCAGGTAGAGTAATCTGAACGTTTTTCAGTACATAAGGTCCCAACGTGCCTGTAGCTTGCTGAAGAGGATACACAGTTCTGGTGACGCCGATTTTGCTGCCTTGAGAAAATTCACCAAAGTGTCTCAGCACTGACCACCTTTAAAAAAAACTCCCTCTCCAGATCTGTCTCATCCCCACCTTATGCTTCCCAGAAAAATGTAAACTTTATTCCCACAATGTTATTCTCTGTAATTCAACCAATATAATTCAGAGGTCTCAAAGCTTGAGATTGTCTTATCTCCTAGTTATTCATTCCCCTTCTTTTTCTTGTCCTTACTCGTTGATCATTTAATTTTATTCATGAAAATTGAAGATCCCTAGTGAATAGGAATTTTTCATGAAGGTACCAGGAACTCAAAGCAGTGAGGACATATGTAATAAAAAAAAATAAGTCTCACATATACTATACCTTGGGCAAGCTTATTGGCTTATGTGTCTCAGTTCCAAAATTTGAACAAAGTGAAACAGATCTTATAGACATTTGATTGACACAGAGGATTTCCCAGTCCAGAGTTACTTACGTCTGCACCTGTTCTCAGTGCCTATCCAAACAGAGTTGTTTTGGCAGATGATAGAAAATGGTTTTCCGTAAAAGCCAGGGCGGCATTCATACTTCAAAAATGTACCAACGGGAAACTCAGACTTGTCAGTTAGGTTGGTAGGCTTGGCAAATGGAAACCTTGGGGCACTGCATTGACCTGGAGATCAAGACCCAGCAACATCAAAGTTAGCAGAGAAACTTCCACTCCATTTCCTCTTTCTCTTCAATAGTCTTCATAAATGTGATCAAAAAAGAAAAATGGATTGATTCAATAATCAATAATAATGGATTGATTCCTTTAGAAAGTACCTTAGCAATGAGCTCTTTAAAAAACAATCAGCATTTGCCCATTTAAAAAGTCCCTGCTATTTTGAAGGCAATTAAGCTATTTATAGTCTTTTCTTCACTAAAAGAGAAACTCCAATTAATAGTTTCAAATTTTAGTTGATCAGGAAGTGCCTGATGCTTTGCTTCATCTATCCCACCTTCATTTATCATTCTCTTGTGTAACAAAATGCACACATGCATTTTATCATCCACCTTAACTCTTCGTGGTGCGCCCAGATCTAGAGGGACTACAAGCTTCCTCTCTGGCCCTCAGTGGCAGTCAGTATTGTTGAAAGTCTGTTATCAAGTCAACTGTTTAACACAAGGAGCAAGCAGACAAAAATTCAGCAATTAAAGCTATACTTCACTTTATGAAAGTATGCATTTTCTGATACACTTTTCAAATTAAATACTAGATTCAGCTAGGCCTCCTCAAGAAGATTTAAGTTTATCAAAATAGCAGAGCCAAACAGTATGTAATCAAGAAGAAGTAGCTGTTGAAAAAATATCATTTTACTTTGGTTTTTGAAATCTCTTCTTTCTTTCTTTGTTTTTACTTCTGTTGGTTCCCAGAGCCCCCACTAATTAATTCAAATTATGGAGGACATTTTGAAGCCAGATATCAATTTTGTTAGACTTCAAAGAACCAACTTTTTGACTTTGTTAATTCTGCTCTTATTTTTAGTTTATCTTTACTGCTGTTTTCTTTAAGTTTATTTGCTGTTCTTAAAAAAAAGAAATTTGTTGAGATGATTACTGAGATTTAAAAAAAATTTTATTTTGTCTTTGTTTCTAAAATAAGCATGTGAGACTATTAGGTTTATTCAGAGAATAAATTTAGCTGTATTCCATAAGTTTTGATGTGTCATATTTCCTCTTTTTTAGTTGAAAATATTTGGTCATTGCCATTGTGATTTCTTCACTGATCCATGAAATATGTATTTCATAAGAAGTGTTTTGCATAATTTACAAACATTTTAACTGTATATTTATTATTCATTTTTGAAATTGATTGAGGCTTGTTTTACAGCTCACTGTATGGCCAGCTGTGGTAACTGTAGCATGTGCACTAGTAAAAATGACGTGTACTGCACTAGTGGTACAGTGTTGTGGGTATGTCAGTGAGGTCCAATCTGTTAATATTTATTCAAATCTTCTAGATACTCACTAATTTTTGGAGGTCTGATTGTTCATCTAGTAGATGCTAAAAATGCTGTGTTAAAACATTTTATTTTACATTTGTCGATTTCTTTTTGGAATTTTGTCCATATTTTATTTTATGTATTTGAGGTCATGTTAGTAGGTTCATGAAATTTTAAATTGTTATATTTTATGATACAGTGATATTTGTATAAGAAAATATCTTTATCTCTAGTAATCTATCTTGACTCAAATTCTACTTTGTCTACTTCATTTGTGGGACCCCCCCCAAAAAAACACACAAATGATAAGATGATAGATTGAATTCCCAACATATAAACAATTAAATAATTATTTTAAGTGAACAGTAGTTGTTCCCTTTATCTTCAGAGGCTACGTTCCAAGACATCCAGTGGATGCCTGAAACCTAGAAGAGTACCAAACCTGATGACTGCCAAATGGAACATATTTTTGTTCCTGTGTTCCACTTCCAAATTTAATGCTTTTCCCAACTTAACTGAGCACTTAGCACACACTGTGGTTATAAATTTTGTAGTCTGAGATGTGACAGCAAAACTAGCACAGATTTCTTTTTTCTTCTTCACAATTTCATTGATGAAATACTTGTTCTTACTATAGATCTTAGCAACCTCAATGTACAATTTTTTTCTTTCCTTATTAAGTGGAGAACTTTCTTCTTATCACCTAAAGGAAGGACTTGCTACTAAACTGAACTATAACTCCCTCAGCAGGCTCAGTTAAAATTTTGAATATCTATGTAGAAAGATGTGGTAGGCTAAATAATAACGTCTCAACGATATGCATGCCCTAATCCCTGGAGCCTGTGAATGTTACTTTTGGCGATAAAAGGGTTTTGCAGATGTGACTAAGCATCTTGAGATGGGCAGATTATCCTGGATCATGTAGGTGGGCCCTAAATGTAATCACAAGTGTCCTTAGAAGAGGGAGGCAAGAGGGTCAAAGGAGACTGAAGAAGGGTGATTGAAGATGCTAGGCTGGTGGTTTTGAAGGTGGTGGAAGGAAGCCATGAGTCAAAGGACATAGGCAGTCTCTAAAACCTAGAAAGGGCAAGAAACCCCTTCTTCCCTAGACCCTTCAGAAAAGAATATCACCCTACAGATCGATCCATTTTAAAATTTGGCCTTCAGAACTGTAAGAGAAAAAATTCTGTTGCTTTAAGTCACTAAATCTGTGGTGATGTGTTATAGCACCAATAGGGAATGAATACAAAAAGTAATGGTATAGCGTGTTAAAAATGGTTTATAGAGGCCTGGTCTTCTAGTTGTAACTGTGAGGTCTTCTATTTATAGCTGTGAGGCCTTAGACCAACTGTTCATTCTTTCTGAGCTTCAACTTCATCGTCATAAGGAGGATGATAATATTTACCTAGTAGCTTCGCTGGGAGGGTTGATGGTAGTATATGCTCTCATGTACACAGAAGGCACTTGATAAGTTGCATTTATAGTTATTATTCATAGAAAAAGGAAAAGCTAACAGATTTAATTATTCTGCTAAAGTGGGCATGCTTGCTTTGCTTCCAAGAGTTTACTTTCTACTGAAATTTGCAATCTAGTTTGAAATGAGCCTATTTTGTTGAGAATGCAGTGGAGGACTTCAGTGACTAGTGACCTCTGACCTCTCTTGAATGAGTGTGTCCCAGATGCAGCCTGGGACTTCTCGTCTGCATCGCATAAGCTCTACCCGGCTGCCCACAGAACCGCTGACGGGAATTGCTGAAGCTGCCTTCTCCCTGTTGACAACGGCGCCAGTCATGCTTCATACTGAAGCTAAGGAGATGCTCCAAGAAAGCTCGTGTTTCTTATTTTTCTCTTGTATTAGACAGCCTATATCAGTCATTACACATTCTCTTTATTAAACCAGTAGTTGTTAAGCAAGGATGCCCTTGCCCATGTCTCTTGCTTCATCCTGTGCCGCTCTGTCCCCTCCCCTCACCAGGTTGTAGCCTTTTTTCAGTTTCCTGAAGACATATGCCTGTTCCCTTCTGTCTGTATATTCCTTTTATGGGATATACTTTAATCTTCACTCTGACTTCTACTTTCCCTCCAGGTGTCTGTTAAAATGCCACTTTCTTATTGAAGCCTTCCCAGACCATCTCAAGGACTTCACATCTACATGACTTCCCTCCGCCCCACCCTACAATAATTTCTAGTCAGATCTTTTACTTATCCCTTTATATCAACAACAGTCTATTATGACAATTTGTGTGTTTTAACCTGTGTGCTTTTAGAAATATTTATTTATTGCAATATATATTAGACATACATAGTATGAGGGAAAGAGATAACGTGTTTTTGTTCCTCTAAATTAATACCCAATCTAGTTGTTTAACACTCAACTATAAGCACTTAATGCATATTTGTTGCAATGAAAAAAATAAGTGAAGAATTGCCCATAAAACTTAAAAAACATCAAGTGTCCACGTGATATCCCCAGCGTGTCTAATTCACTGGGTTTGAATTAGAGCCCAGGAATCTATATTTTTAAAAAATTTCACAAGTGATTTTGATAGATAGCACCAATTTGAGAACCACTGTGATAAACAGTAAGAAACCACTGAGTAAAAACCAGTTCCTGTGATTTCCAAGGTTACATCTTTCCCTTCTTTCCCTGACATGTGGGTTGAAAGGTAATTTTGATATTTATCTTATCCATTAATGTGGAAAAGGGAAGAGATTCTAAGTGGAGCTCCCAGTGCCCAAAGTTGTACTGGGAAGGTTGAATGCCACAGCAAACCTCACGAGGAGAGGCTAAAAGAGATCTAAAGCATCAAATCACGTGGAGAACCATTCTTGGAATGGCATTCCTTTCTTTTAATTACTTAAAATTATTGCCTGCATTGTAACATATGAATAGCATTTGTAATACTAAAAATGCAAAATTGAATAATAGTCCAAATTATAAGGAATATATGTGCCTTCAAAAGAAAAGGTTGATCATAGTTTCATTTTCCTCCTTTATTACTAATCCCTCATATTATGGCTAGTTCCTATGATAAATGTATCAGTATGGACTCATATTTACATATTATATACAATAATGGTGTGTATTTAAAGTGTACAATTTGATGACTTTTAACATGCCTATGCACCATGAAACCATCATCAAAATCAAGATAACAAACATTTCCATCACACGCCCCACCCCTACAGAGTTCCCTCATGTCCGTCAGTAGCCACCCAAACTTTCATCTCTTTCTGTAGGAAACTTCTGACTTGCTTTCTCTTACTACACATTGATTCAACTTTCTAGAATTTTACATTTTTTGATTATATCATATAATATAAACAGAATCACTCAGGTTGTTATTGTTGTTGTTGTTTTGGTCTAGCTTTCACATAGCAGTTATTTTGAGATTCATCCAGGCTGTTGCATATATAAAAATTGTGTCTTTTTGTTGATGAGTAGTATTCAATTGTATAACTATGCCTTAGTTTAGATAAGTTGTTCTACCAAAAGGACACCTCCACACATATGTTCATGGCAGCACTATTCACAATAGCAAAAACATGGAACCAACCCAGATGCCCACTGAAAGTGGAGAGTACAAAGAAAATGTAGCACATATACACAACAGAATACTATGCAACCATAAAGAAGAACAAAACCATGTCCTTTGCATGTCATTCTAAGTGAGCTATCACAGAAACA